TGGTCATCCAATTTGATTTTATTTCACCAAAGTCGCCAAAATCAAATTGGATGACCATGATGACATTAAGTATAAAGTTGGGTGGCCACCAGTGAATTTAATCCTCTAAATAAAACATCATATTATGACAATTTATCTAAAGAGACTTGTGTTTCCGTGGTAAATTATGATAACGATGGGTGTGTTGAATTTATTATAAGCCTGTTTGACGGTATTTATATTTTTACTTTTATTTTTTGTAAAGAGCTTCCTGAAATAATTTACATTAAACAAATTTCCTTTTAAAAGTCTTCTAGCAAAACAAAATATTTTTAAAAAATTATTCAAATATGTTTAAAAATAACTTTTTTATTTACAATTTGTAATGCTTACGTTATCTTACAAATTAGTATGTAAAATGTTGACAAAAAGTAAGAAAAAATTATGGCCAGAGAAAAATATCGGCAATTCTATATTTCATTATTTCTTTTATACGACCCTTTCGAACTTATCGAGTTAAAAATAGGTCAATTTTAGAAGGTTAATGCACATTTTCTATCCATCTCAACAATCTCAGGCTTAAAAATAAGCAGAAAGGGTTCTTTCATTTTCCCTTGTTTCTTTCCAAGAAAATAATTATTATAATATGGGTCCACCCCAATACAAATAGATCTGTTCCGAGGCTACTTATTTATATTTTATACTGTGGCCGACAGAACAGTAAAATTTCTTATTTTTTCCTTTATTTTGATCTAGACAAGGATTTTCTTGAACATCTACTTGCAATTAAGCATTGGATTCTATGTACCCATGGCAGCAAACAAGCTGCTAAAACACAGCAAGAAAGTCAATTTTTTCTATCTGGCAAAACGTGTGAAATCTTAGAAATTATAGACCCCTTCCGATGTATAAGTACTCGCCTTGTTTAAAAGTTTAAGTTTCGTCCTTAACATGACCCTCACAAATTTCTTTGTTATTATTATAACTAAAATGATTGACACGTGCATGATTTTTATAAATGTTGACGACGAATTTTATCTCCGACTCAAATACCTAGTTAATCACCTCATCGAAATATTTCAACAATTAAATATATATTACATACATTCATTTCAATTTTATCTTTAACTCAAACAATGTTTCATGTCATGGGAACAAAAGATTATAATCGATTCAGTAGGCCATAAGTTGTCGTATTTATTGATGTTTGGTAAGTAGGTTATAGCATTTATTGCAATATGTGCAATGAAAATTCTCACACTTGGGGAGTATTTTGTTTCTATTAAAATTGATATATAGAAGAGTTTGTGGCATCAATTTCTTTGTTCATTGCCTGTTTTACTCATATAAAAGGCTAGAAGAAAAACATTTTGTTGACCTAAAAAATTGTACATCTAACGTGGCCAACAAATTCCAAGATTTCTTAGTCCACGCAAGTTTAGTTCCTATACACTTGGACAAAATGTCAGCCACACGTGGCTTCCTCCGGTGGGGTGGAGTTAGCCACGAGCACTCCGACGGTCAAGTCAGTAGGGAAAGTAAATATACGAGTGTAGGAAAATTTTAAACGTAAGCCTCCAATATAAAAAAAAAAGGGTCGGCTTTTGGAGAGTAATGGATAAAACGGTGATATGACAAAGTAATAATTTGAGAGTTTAAACTTGTATTACCTTTCACATGGCACTAAGTATAAACTTTTATAGTGAAAAATGGTAAATGAGAGTCGTTGGATGAAAAGACACGTGGCCTCACCCATGCTGTTGTTCTTATCTTAGACATCAACAATCACAAGCATTAAATGTTAATACCACTTTAGCACCCATAATGCCTAGCTTGCGGCTTTGGATTTGACCAACGGGTTGGTAGTGGCGGGGACGACGACAGTTAATTGTTACATCAATCACATATCAAAGTTGTTTGGAAGATCTTGTGCTGAGCTTCTTTTGTGGCCTCCCTTCTACTCGCAGTCTGACTCTTTCCTATGGGGTCAATATAATTTAATGAGGTCGGCAATTATATTGGTTTGGCAGCCAAAAGGGGGTTCGGCCAAATCAGTCTCATGATATTTTAGTATATTTTGGTGTGGTGTGGTGTGGGGTCCACGCTTGCTTGCCACTTAGAATATTTGGGTCTTGTGAAGTGATGCGTAACAATAGTCTCTGAAATCCATGTATAATTATTCATATAATACATGGACTTTTAAGTTGATGGTGTAATATTGTGTGACTTGTGGACACAAATGAAACCAGTTGTAAGGCTAAACGAAGCGAATGCGAGGCCTTTGCTAAAGAGGGCGAGCCAATTGAAGCAATTGAAACCTGTAATAAATCTGAATGAAATGAAAGAGAGCCCCTAGCTAAAGAGGGCGAGCCTGTTGAAGCAATTGAAGCCTGTAATAAGGCTGAATGAAGCGAATGTGAGGCCCTTGCTAAAGAGGGTGAGCCCGTTGAACCGACTGGAGCCTGTAATAAGATTGAATGATTAGAAACGAGGCCATTGCTAAAGAGGACGAGCTTGCTGAAGCAACTGAAGCCTGTAATAAGACTGAATGAAGCGAAGGTAATGCCCTTGCTAAAGAGGGGAGGGGAGGGGAGGGGAGATCTTACAAAAGTTCTATCGGTGTTTACAAGAACTCTGAGTAAAAATCAAAGTTGTATTACGTGCCAATTTCAGCCCAATTACTTTTTTCGTGAAAATTATTTGTATAAAAATGTGCATATTGACACGATCAAAAAGAATTTTTTTTAGTTCATTTCTGACACCGCTCCTAGAGAAATTGAAACACACACAATATATGATTGTGAATTTTTTCTGTAACCTTGTTGAGAACCAGCTCACCAATCAAATTCATGGAGAAATTGTAAAAAACAAATTGAGATGATAGAGCATTATTAGATTGATCATAATTATATGGACAATTTTAATTAACAAATCAACATCTCAATTAAGGGAAAATTGCATTAATGATCTTCAACCTATTGTCTCTGTCAAAAGTTGATCTTAAACCTTTAAGAAGGATCAATTTGGTCCGTAACATTGTGTTACAATCATACAATCAATTCTAAATACCGAACAATACTCAAATCTTCATTAGATTATTGCGGTCCACGAAAATATGTTTTGCTTCAAATTTAAGGACACAAGTCAAATTGTTATGCAAAATATAGCTTCTTATAGCTGTAAACTACTTTGCTATCAAGACAATAAGTTGGGGACCAATAATGCAATATTTCCAAGTAATTAATTGCAAAGATACCTATGTCCCACGGCAATTAGAAAAATGCTCAAAGGTTACAATCTTTGAAAACAATATCACTCTGAACCTTGATTTATCAGACCCCACAATTTGGTCCTTCAATTCTCAGTATCCCCGACATAATACTGAGGAAAAAAGAGAGGGGTAAAAATTACACACAGTGGGAGTGTAATCAGTTAATCGTAGCTTTAAAGGTTCAGACAGATGCACGTTGATGAAGCCAAACATCCTGTAGAGAGTCTTATTTGCACGCAAAGAATACACACACTGCGTGCGTGCGGGTGGAATGGGGTGGGGTGGGGTGGAGTGGGGTTCAATAGACTCCTTTGCTCGTCTGTCTACTCGTTTTGGATCTCTTGTTTTCTAAACTATTTCCAAAATCATTCAACCAAATCTGATTCAAGTTTTCTCATCAAGGAAGAATATCAAGTGGTTGGATGAGAATAATTATTGCACTTCGGACTCGGCGTAAGTTTTAAGAGCCTGTCCGGAAGAGTTTTTGAAACATCAAAAGTTATTTTCGAACATACTGAGAGCTTGTTTGGTTGGAATGTTTGGGGAAAGAATTGATTTTTGAATAGTGATATAATAGGAAATGTGTGGTTGAAAAAGAAAAAAAATTATTGATGTGATAAAAAATATTATTTTATTGAAGAATGTGTGGTTGAAAATGAGAATTGATTTGAGTTCTCAAATAAAAAACAAACACCTCTTGACTATTTTTTTTGAAAATATATTATCTGATTAGAAAAAACCGTTTTGAAGATTTTCTTATAAAGTTCTTCTACAAAGTGGGAGGAGCACCGCCAAATAGGCTATAAAAATAACTTAAAATTACTTGGTCACTGTTTAAGTTACGTTCTCATTTTCATTTACATTCTTCTACTCATTTTTAACCATATATTCTTTAATAAAATAATATTTTTCATCACATTAATAACTTTTTCCTTCTTTTTCAACCACATATTCACCATCATATCACAAAAAAATACATTTTCTTCTAAAAAATGTGCATCAAATACACCCTTATTATCAAGCATATTTGAACAAATAACTTATTTATTTTCAACATTATGTTTTATGAGATACACAATTTTTCAGTTATACATTTCATTAATTTTTATCAAAACTTACCAAAAAAATGTGATTTTTTTGTTTTTTTTTATCTAAACCAAATAAGGTTTTAGTTACAATAAATTGTTTTGACCTAGTCCAAGTGTCAAACGTTCAATTAATGGTCCTCGAACTTTACATTGGGTGTGAATATCATCTTTATACTTTAAAATGGACTTCGTTAATCCTTTAGCGTAACGTTGTGACCCCCTTTAGTCCAATAAATAAATTCCATCCAAATTTCGGGAACCATTCAAGTATTTTACCAAAAGAATGTATAAATTCATATCTAATGTCCTAAACGGCTAGAAGGAAAACCTTTGAGACCGTGTAACGTTCACTAAACAAGAATTATGAGAACAAATTATAAGAATTGACATAATTATTACTTGGCAACTTCAATATGATTCCCTTATCTTATGGGATGGATTATTAGCCTGAAAAATCAATTAAAACCAATAATTCCAAGAAATTAACCTATTAATTCTTGATCACAAATCGCTCAATGAGAACTCCTCGATTTCTTTCAAAAACTGGCCCACCCCACCAATCTTTTTATTTATATCAAATTGTACTGCCATGCTTTCCCGTCATGTACACACTCTCTTGTCTCGCCCTGCATTTATGTACCCCAAAACTCTCACTCAAAACTATGCATAAATCACTCGCTTCAGTCCATTCCTTCTCCTTCATGGCTCTCCTCTTTCTCCCACTTTTTTTCATCCTCTTTGTCCCCTCAACCAATGCCGGTTCTTGGCCACCCTCTCCGGGTTATTACCCGAGTTCCAAGTTCAGGTCCATGAGCTTTTATAAGGGATACAGAAACTTATGGGGTCCGGATCATCAGAATGTAGACAACAATGGCATTACTATTTGGCTTGACAGAACCTCAGGTCTTGCCTTTTTTACTTTAACCTTATTTGGGAATTATTGTCAGTTTATCAATTTGGAATGCACTTTTTTTTTTCTGTGACAGGAAGTGGGTTCAAGTCGGTTAAACCATTTCGATCCGGGTACTTTAGCGCATCCATCAAGCTCCAACCTGGTTATACTGCTGGAGTGATTACAGCTTTCTATGTAAGACTTTTCCTGTTAGTTAAATTCTCATTTTTGAACTGTATCGTCTAAAAGTTCAGTATGAAGTGACGTTAACATTGCTCATCGAGTATTGGTTAGTTAAAGGTTGTTTGATTGCAGCTTTCGAACAATGAAGCTCATCCAGGATATCACGATGAAGTGGATATCGAGTTTCTTGGAACAACGTTTGGGAAACCTTACACTTTGCAAACCAATGTGTATATCCGAGGAAGTGGGGATGGTAGAATTATTGGGAGAGAGATGAAATTTCACTTATGGTTCGATCCGACCAAAAATTTCCATCACTATGCCATTTTGTGGAGTCCCAAGGAAATCATGTAAGATGATATTATCTACAATTTTTCCTAATAATAATTTATATATTTACAATCTCAATTTTGGTTGATCCTAAAGTATTCCCTAATATATATGTCATATCATATGAAGTACGGATACATGAAGTTATGTTGAATTTGTCATGATGAACTCGACAATACATAATGACATAGGGCGTAAAATTAACTTTTTCTTTAGCCCATTACTAAAAAATCTGATTAAAATCTAAATCAAAGTCAACAATTAATTTTAATCATACATTACATAGGATTCACAACTTTTTAACCATATATTCCATCAATTTTTTTTATCAAAATCTGCTAAAAATCTAATTTTAATTTTTCCGGATTAATATTATTCAATTTAGAGACCTTCACTATAGTAATCATTTCAACCATAAATGTTAGCCCATAACTCAATTGACTTAGAAAAATTGTAGCATCTGAAGTGTCACACTATCACAAGGTCCATGCTAGAGTGTTAAATATATAAAAGAAAAAGAAAAAATCCCGCGCTTCAACATTTCATTGTGTTTCATTTTACTAAATTTCATTTGGAGTGATGAAAGATGTTTCACTATACATTTGTACTTTGTGGGATTTTCAGATTCTTCGTTGACGATGTGCCCATAAGAAGGTATCCAAGAAAAAGTGTTGCAACATTTCCTCTAAGACCAATGTGGGTATATGGATCGATATGGGATGCTTCATCATGGGCAACTGAAGATGGTAAATACAAAGCCGATTATAGATACCAACCATTCATTGGAAAATTCACTAACTTCAAAGCAAGTGGCTGCACAGCCTATGCTCCACGCCGGTGCCACCCAGTCTCTGCCTCTCCATTTCGCTCCGGTGGCCTTACTGGACAACAATACAGAGTAATGCAATGGGTTCAAAGTCACTACTTAGTATATAACTATTGCAAGGACTATAAAAGAGACCATTCTCTGACACCGGAATGCTGGCGTTAACTCAAGAATAGTTTTGATTTATGAACATTCATGTATCGTCAATCAATCTTGCTTTTAAAGTGAAAGATTTTTTTCTGCTTTAATTTGGGAGGGGGTTTTCTTGAATTGGGTCCCTCTTGTCAATACCAAGCCACCAAAAAACAAGAAAAAAATTTGCATTTTTGGGTGGTACTTTTGGGTACATTAGTTAAATGGAGAATACGAAGTGTGAGAGAGAAGGGAGGGAAAATTCAATAATGTGTGCATTCGGTTGTCATTTCTTAATAAGGCAAAATATTTTTTTTTTTAATTATTTTTTATCGATTTCTTTAATGCTTATAATAAAGAAAAAGTTGTGATAATAAACCTTTTCATGGTTTTTTTTTTTGGGGGCAATAAGCATTATTTGTAGGCCCTAATTCTAATTATTGAAGGGGCAAATCTTGAATTTAAAAAAGGGATAAAACGAAAACAAATATATGTGACCCTTGTGCTAATATAGTAACAACAACAAGAAGAAGACACGTTTTTCATTAAACAATCAAAGCAACTTTTGAATTTAACTTACATATGCTTTTGGCAATCCAATAATTCAATAGGTTAGGGAGAATTATGTAAATAATACTTTGAAGTCCCCAAATTCATAGGTTGGTGAATTTTTATTTATCTATAGAAATGATTATTGCGGATAATATTTGTCTTTGTTCTCTAGACATGCTTCATCTCTCTGTCCTGAAGTGACCCTCATCAAGCACGATTAAGCGACAGAGAAGCTGAATGACACTATTGAATATGATTATAATTCTTTGATTTAATCCTACAATGAAAATTCATCATTAACTAATAGTTATTCGATTACATGATCATATGATGATCTAGAATATTGAAGAAGAGAAATATAAAATATTATTCATAATTTTCTTTTAAAATATGACTAGAATATTTCCAAACAAAGACATATGGGGTCCAAATCTTCTTCCTTTAGCCTTTTTTTCTTCTTTTAGCATCTTATGAGGGTTTTATTAAATTTGTTGTAGTTCCAATACTGACTTTTCAAAAATAGTTGGGACATCCATTGATTATCCTTCATTTTAAATTGACAAAATTTCCAAACTATAAAATATAGATGATTGATTTTGGAAAAAAAAACATTATTACAAGTGTTGGAAATAAATGAAAATCTGATCAACTCCTCAGATCAGTTTCTGCAGTTTCAGGAGTTAGGGAAATTAATTTCCAGCCGTTCATCTCTTCAATTCCTCAACTCCTCATTCAATGTGTTAAAGTGATGACTCTTCCTCCACTAGTATAAATAGAGGAGCTTATAGTTGGAGGTAAACACAATAACAAGAAACAAACACGAAACACAAACGGAAAAAAAAAAAAAAAAACAGCTTCCTCCTATTCATTTCGGCA